TCGATGGGCTCTTTGGGACTGTGCCCGAGAAATATGTAAACATTATCCGAACGCTGTACGCGCGTAGCTCGAGCAGAGTGGGGGTTTACGTTCGATCATCGCTGCCCTCGCAGCTTAGCTCATGCTTGGTGGGAGCGCCGCGTGAGCAATCAGCGCGTTTGACGTAAAGTATTTGAAGTAAAAAAACGAGTGAACCACTCAGCACTGTTATATCATGCACCCGGCTCTGATGGCTGGGCAACGTGTTGCGCATTCAAGTCCACCGACTCCCACGACGTGTGTTGTTTGTGCGCTTGGGGTGTGGATGGACGAAGAGGGGAGGACAAGCGATGACCTGGTCGAGAGGGATGAAGTCCCTCACTTCGAAGTTGGCGTCGGTTGGTTTTTCCCGACTGCCTGGCTGAGGACCGAAGGATGAACACGTTGGATACACTAGCTGACATAGAGAAGAGTCGATCTCAGTGGCGTTTGTGTTGGGAGTCTCTATAACCCTCCCATTCCCTTTAGCTTCCGTTCCAAAAACCATCAAAAAGGTGATATTAGCATTATGTTACATATTTTATAGCTTTTAAGTCCGCATAGCTTAATGTCTTACTAGTTTGTATTGCGGCACATTAGCTGAAGTGCGTCTCTCACCCCCGACTAGCGTGGATTGATGATGGAAATGATGCATCCAGCTAGATGGCTCGTTCAAAGTTCCATGGGGCCAATGGGTGACGGTTTGGCATTGCTGCCTATGCTCCCACAAATTGTAACATTGACTCGGTGAAAGATGACTTCTACTGCCCATTGAACGAGCTCCTTCGTCACAGAAGAAACCCGGATAATATGGTTTTGGCTGGTGATCCCAAAGCTCAGGTTGGAAAAATTGTCCAACGATTGGCTCCATATGGGTGGCCAACACGGCATATAGGCTTCCGTAATGATAGCGGTGAGCAGTTGTTACAATCTTGTGAAGATGCGCATCAATTTCTCGCGAGCACTAACTTCCAACACAGCAACCATGGTTGGGTTACATAGCGCATAACAGCCTCGAACCAGCCATAAACGCAAACCGATCACATCACGATGAGTTGTAGCCGGAGTAGCTGCGCGAGAAAGTGGTGCTCGATTTGGAGCACAAGCGTGGATTCCGAACATGCTCTTGTATGAGCTGATTTCGAACCGCGTTTCGGCTAGAATAGAAGTTATTAGCAGTATGCCAGTGTGTCGCACCGACACAGAGTTGTAGGTTATTAATCGAATGCCCACCAGAGCCTATAAGCAGCAGGCAAATCCGCATGTGGCATAACTGATTGTCAACCTGAAAGTTGGGTCTCAATGTGGTCTCTGGGACTTCTCGATGCTCGCCGGCGCATGCCGACTGGAAGCGAATAAAACGAGACTCACTAAGAATTCACAGCAAAACTGCGTACTAGCTTGAAAAGAGACAGCGAAGCCCGTGGTCTCATTATGCGTCAGAAACGAAAAAAAGGTCGCCGTCGTTGGTAACTATCGGAAGCTATCACGTCTGATACGGGAAATGGGCAGCAGTAGACCTGGTGTAAGGAACATTATGTGCGGTGAGAAGGAACGGTTTACCCATAACCTATCAAATGGCTTGAAGCGCTGAGATGAGCAGTTTGAAAAGAATTTCAATCAACCAAAGCTATCAGCTTCAACAAGGGCCAGTGATCGACCTGTTGAGGTTGAATAAGGCCGTGGGACAAAGTGAAGTTCATCCAGCCCTCTTCGAAATCAGGGACCTGCTCTTGTCAATGATTTGCACGAATTACTAGTGAGACTGTGGGGAAAGGAAACTGTCCCAAGCGACTAGAGCTGTTCCGCTATTGTCCCGGGCTTCAAAGTGAGCTCATGTTTGAAACGCAGCAGTCCTAGAGGAAACAATTTGATCTCCGTCGCCAAATAATGGAGCACCACCTACCGTTTTCGTGTTTCTAGACATCAAAGGAGCCTTTGATTGGGTGGATAGATGCGTTCTTTGAGATTGTTTGACTAGGAAAGATGTGCCCCAAGAAAATATAACATTATCAGAGCGTTATTCGCACGTACTTCGGGTACAGTGAGAGCTTAATGCAAACTTTTGCCGCCCTTCAATATATCCATCGGCGTGAGTCAGGGATGCCCGCTGTAACCTTATCGTCTCAAATTCGTCACTGATGAAATCATGGAAACCGCGTTCACTGAAAATAACTCCAGGTAATCAACTCCTTAACTTGAACTATGCCGACGATACTGTCCACACCTGGAATATATCACAAGCTTGCCAAGAAGCATCCGCAGTCAAACGTTCCGAGTTGAGCTCTGCATTCTTTAAATTCAAAGCAACCCTCCAACCAGCCCTCCACCACACTCTGCGCTGAACCTTGGTGGGGATCAGCTAGAAGTCGTCTAGAAATTCAACTACCTGATTAGCTGTATCAGTGCATGTGGAGTGGAATATAAGGTCACGAACCATATCGCAAAAGTTAGTGGCGTTACTGCCAATCCTCGCCACCTGTCGCGCCCATGCGACATCACTCCTACAATAAAGGGTACAGTCCACAATGAAGCCGTCCGTTCAACGCAAAAGATATAAAGAGACCAGTCAGATTCGACAGCCGGTGTCGTTCGCAGCTTAGAGCACATCTGGTAGGGCCACCGTCTGAGCAGTGAGGATCTTCGGCATCTAGGTTATGGCACAGAAAAGGGAAGCGAACCCATCATCACCAGTATATCACGTACTAGGCCCCGATGGCTGGGCCATGTGTTACGCATGCCAATACACCGACTCCCGCGATGTGTTATTTGCTCGACCGGGCTCTGGATGGCAGAAAAGGAAGGGGCAACTGATGACTTGGTCAAGAGGAATGAAGGCTCTCACCTCCAAGTTGGCGTAGGTTGGAGCTTCACGACTTTGTGGTTGTGGACCGAAAAATGATGAACACAGTTGATTGGATGCACTTAGTGATGTCACAAAGGACCAAGCTCCATGGTGTTTGTGTAATGAGTTTCTTTATCTCTCTCCATACCGCTTAGCCATTGCTCTCCGGCCACGAACTCGTCGTCAATAATATACAAAGTGTAATAGTGTTGTAGCCTACGTTGTTGTTTTCTTTTTCATCCTTTTGTACTACCAACCAACTGAATCGTACTTAAGCACAATAGTTGAGGAATTGCTCATCCCTAGCAAATATGTAGAATGTTGCGCAGAGAGAGAGAGAGAATGAAGCATGCGCATTATGCAATAATTGGACTAGTGTATAGTACGTGCCCGCCGACCACTCATTTAGAACTTGAGAAACATTACTAATGGGTGTACACTTACACCTGTAAAATAGTGGAGTCACTGACTACGTCTAAGGTGCTCATGAAGACTGTGAGTTTGACTGTTCCAACATCGGTGGGTAGTCGTCCGGATTCAGTTATCGAACTAGTGGCACCGGATCACAGAGCACTATATCAAAATTCGCGTGACGACAAGCCACTCTGCTCACATAAAAATATGGTAAACGTCAGTCATACGGCAACACACGTTCATTCGCAGTGATTATAGAGTGCAGTCTATGTAATGTCAGTGCAGTAGCAGTAAACGCATGACAAAAATACGTCTGGTGGCCATGTTGTTCATGGGCTGGAGGCTGAAGAAAGGTGGCAATAACGAAGTGGAAGTACTACAAGTCGAATGTAGGATAATGCACAACGGACATTAGGAATCTATGTTAACACAGCCACAGTGCAAAGTGGAAATATTAACGTAAAGACTATCGGGAAACCGATCAGGCGTATCGGGAATAAACATGCTTCGATGCAAACCGGAACAGTAAAAACATCTACTCAAAGACGCGAAGAAAATCGCACACTATACAGCAAACTTAAATTGCAGTAAAGGACAAAGAGGAATAATATGCCGTAGAAGCAATGCTGTGACTCAGAGTGCTCGCAAGCAATAGCTGTAGGAAACGAATTTGATGGGATGTGGCGGCAATGCAAAACCAGACATCAGGAGGAAGTGAACCGAGATAGGAAGTCTCTGAGTGGGCAAATCATGAGCGTGTGCCAACGACTGATTTAGGCAGGGTGTTAGTTAAGCAATACTCTTGTTAACCTCCAAATCCCCGTATACACAAATGTTATGATGCGCGTGGGCTAGGCCGTTAACAACAGTGGTGCTCTGAATGATATGTGTTTATGCACATGTTACCAGCACTGAAAGTGTGCTGGGGCTTGCGTGTCGCTCTTTGCATGCTAAAATACAGTGGTCAAATCTCAGCAGCAAACCATGAAGTCAAAACAAGTAACATATGTAAAGCGGATCGTAGAATCCTGCGGAAAAGGCTGAAAAATATAACTGAATGAAGGCACACACATCATATACCATATATATACACATACATATATATATGCCATATATATATCATTTATCAAAAGAAGAGAACCATAACAAGTCACTTTAAGTTGGTTTAGTTTAACTGGGGCAAAGAAGCCCAACGTAGATCACTCTGAACTCTGCACCGTGAATGAGAAAAATGAAGGGGTCCACATAGGAGAATAACGCTTTGTTGCATCGGGAGAAAAAACTGCACATACGGCGAAAAAAGTGAATGGTGAGACAGTTGTGCATGAATCTAGATGGGAACTCACAATGATTCATAAGTGGCCAGCTGTACTCAGTAGGAGATAGAGATACAGGTATATACAAATACAGAAGAGGTTGGGTCATAGGGGAAACGACTTTTATCACCGTTTTCCACCTACGTTGGTAGCCATAGTAAAGTAAACATGAGCAGCGAACGCACAAACTGCGAAATAGAGGGAATAACACAAAAGCTGGCGCGTTGCTATGAGCGAGATAGAAGTGAGTTGATTAAAACTCCAAGACGACTGAAATTTATTGAGTGAGATAAGATGTAACAAACGGCGTCGTCAACTGGTGGCTAGTGGCCACCGTCCGTGGAATCTTTCAAGACAAAGTACAACGTTGAACACGTCACATCCCTGGAGTAGCTAAAAGAACCTACCTCTTTGATGCCATCGAGCACCACGATCAGACGATACCGTTTGCTCAGCGGAGCCCATATAGTGCTTGACATCAACGAAGTGTTAGCAAAACTGAAAACAAGCATATCTGCGTCAGGCAAACTTTCGACATCCTCAAGTTTGCCAAAACGAAAATTTTTGAACCAAACGGAGAGACGATGTTCCGTAGACCAACGGCGATCAAAAGCAGAGAGGTAAGTATTCCAGCCGGCGCACTGATCAATGCAATAGTAGACCAAGCGTTGTCTGAAACCGTGTGCACGAGCGTAAGCAACGTAGGCAGCTACATCTGGTCCAGGACCAACACCGATGCTAATCACCCGGGACACGTATTCACTTAAGTAAGTCTCTACGCTTGGATTTTCTGGAATGATGCGGTAGACCAAGGCCTGAAAAACAGATACAAAGACTTTTGAGGAAATAGGTATGCTTAGAAACTAATACCGCCCAAGATCGTGAGAAAAGACAGAGGTTACGAGTCATGAGCCATCAGTCAAAAACCAACCAGACTAGATCAGAGGTGTCCAAACTTTTTGCAAGGAGGGTCACATTTGTGAGAAAAAATATGTCGGGTCGTCTTCAGTCTGACATTGATAATAACAAAAATTACACGTAGGAAAAGAGATCAAACCTGTAGTTATGATTTCATGATGAGGTTGCGCACCAGTTGAAACGTTAACGCCGCATTTGGTCAGTGGGCAGGACTTTAGACACCCCTGGATTAGATGGACAGTGACACTACACCCAAATGCCGTATCGAGTTCTTTTCAGGCAAGGTAACGGAGATAGACCTCTGATTTGTGTCCAACTTTAAATCAGAAAAAGTACCAGCACGTACCTGCAAAAAGCTCGTCGCGCTATTGAGAAATCGTTGTTGAGCATAAGCAGCTCGGAAATTATCATTGTCATAGTACGCCAGTAGGCACTCTTTGCGACGCATTTTTCCTAAAATGTGCAAACCTCAGTGTTACGAGGAACAAGGGAGAAATGCAATAAAAACGCAGTGTGAAGACAAGATAGTTACAATAGGCTGACGGAAAAACGGTTACAATCAGCATGTGTTGATGAACAATTACTCTGCTTTTACAGTCAGACGGGGAGATATGTATCAAACATGAGGATAACCTACCCCATTCCCTATAGAGGGTGTCACCGCGATGCACCTTGTCCGATCCAAGGACGCTTGAGATGAGTTTTTCCACCGGCTGGTATAGCTCAGTGATTTGCCTCACCTCTCTGGCGAACTTCAATCGTCGCTGACTGCCGTTTTCCCAGGTTGATCGCAATTCAGCGTCAAGAGCGTCCTCAGCACGTTTTTGTTTTAGGAAACACACCCACCAAGCTTCTATAGCTGCATCAGATTCGTCACAATTAAAGGAATCTCCTTTCAAAGGTGCATCGTTGGCGCGGTCATCCATAAGTGACTGTAAGAAAAGTGAAGGGTAAATACAGTTTCTATATAAAATACTGCGAGGAAAAACTGTTCCGTCCCAGTGCCAGCAGCTAAGGGGTCACACACAAAAAACTGAAATACGATGGAATCAGTTGCTGGGTTAATCAACAATGAAAAGAAGTGAAAATAAACAATGTAAAGCTTAGTAAAAAGAGTCGAAAGAACGCAAGAATTGCCAGATGGAGGGATAAAGAGTCATACAAATGGGTCGAATGAAAGAGCGGCACGGATAATTTGATTAAAAAAGTAGGTAACGATTCCGAGACCTCACTCCAGACACGAAGCAAGCATCCGCGTTGTTATTTTTCCTAATCCTTAGCCATGCAGTCGTATAGCTATTATAAAACTGAGTTCGGTCAATTGATTGTACCTAGCGCCAAGCTGAGAGGACTCAGTAGGTATTATTCGTACCGCCACAATATGGAGACAAATACTATGATTGATACTGCAACTACGACAACAATTACCAGGAATACTACCAGGACAAGCTAGAAAAAGGAAGGGGGTTAACAATAAGCAAATTTTGTTTAAAAAGTGGAACAGACCAGACCAGAACCGAAATATTTAACTGGCAGATACAAGTTAAAAATAAAAACAATGAATGAAAACAACAGCGAGACTGGCTTGACAATTCTGATACGCGGGAGGAAAACCTCGTTACTGAGTTGGTGATCGTTAAATCAAGTAAAGTCACCGCGATCGATTATATGCATGGTGAGAAGCAAAAATGCAGTAGCCGCGTCCTCTAGCGCAGGGGAAGCAAACCTGACTTCCGGTAATAAAACTCTCACGAAGATAACCCTTACTCCGAAGCACAATGCACGTCAACAAATAGGCAATGGAACTAAAAACGCCACGATGATGTTGAGTACAAGCTCACTTGCACGTTGTGGATACAGACTACAGCTGACAACTGTCAGTCAAAGGACACCTCTTTACTGCACAAAATACCACCGCAAAGAAGAAGTTAGGTCAATCAACAGACAATCACCACCGTCCATCTGCAATGGATGAAAAAAGTCGTTAAAGCCAGGCCTCTCCAACCTTAATAGAAACACCAGTTTGGGTTGGGTCTTGTGGCCATAGGTGGTCCAACTGACAAATTTGAGACACTGAGTGGGCTGAACTGTTTATCGACCTGTTCGACACACGCCTAAGCCGAACTGATTGAAAGCGAAGCAGCAGCTACTAGATTCGGACGAGTTTTTCCAGAGCATGGGTCTTGGGTGGTTTGGAATGGTGCTTAACTGCTTTTAATTACGCTTCCTCTCATCATCGAGTGCACCCCATAATAAACCAACGATCCAGGCAAATCCCGAGATTAATAGTCGGTGACTGTATCAGTGTTGAGGATACTGAAATAAACTATCCATTGCGACAAGACTGGGTCTAAACATGGGACGATGGTTCGCGGACCTCAGTGGTCCACTGAGCTAAGCTGGGTGGCACATTTCAGATGATTTCAGATCCACTCCTATGAGACAAGTCAATGGTTAGAGGTCAGACTAACGCAGTCTCGCAATCCTCATCAGAGGTTAAGGATAGGTCAATAAAGATTCTCTCTTTAAAAACGTCTCATTGCAGACAATTTGCTTACAGGCCGTAAGCTGGCACCAGGTTTGCTACCGCCCGCCACAAGCCAAGCAGCCCCTGGTCAAATTAGTGCAAACCCGCCAAAACCCACCTGCGCCTGGCCGTGGTCACAGATGCGTATCCTACTACGGTCGCAAAACATAGAGGAATCGTTCCAGTACCTCAAAGGTTGCGTGTGACGGCCATCAAGCAGATCCCACTCTGTCTCTGCAATCACATTCCCGAGCTGGATCTGCTCCTCACTGCCTTGTGAGATAGGCTATTGAGCCAAAGGCTCAGAGCTGAGCCCCTCAAGCAAACCTCCAAATCAACCACTGCCTTGTGGATCAGGCTATTGAGCCAAAGGCTACGGGCGGAGTCTCTCCAGCAAACCTCCAAATCACCCACTGCCTTGTAGGTCAGGCTATTGAGCCAAAGGCTTCGGGTGGAGTCCCCAAACAAGCATCCGTAGCACAACCGCCACCTCGCGTGCGATTGCCCAACAATGCAATCGTATGCCTGCGCGCAAGGCACTCAGCATCAGGTGCTAAAACGTACGCACACTATTGGAACGGAACTCGAGTAAGCGCTCCGAGCGACACACTGCACTGGTCACGATAGAACTGGCGCATTACAACATCGAAATTGCGGCGCTCAGTGAGACTCGGCTGGCTGAGCAAGATAGGTTGAATGAAGCAGGTGCTGGTTATACATTCTACTGGATGGGAAACGCCGCCTCAGCAACACGTGAGCATGGGATCCGAGTTGCAATATTCGATCTCCTACATGGCCGGCTTCCGGGGGAACCAAGAGACATCAGTGCGCGACTGATGAATGTGCGTCTACCATTCGGAAGAGATAAGTTTGCCACTTTGATAAGCACATACGGTCCGACTATGTTTTATCCTGATGACACGCGTGATCAACTCTACACCCAGGTATCCTCCGTGATATGGTCTGTGCTGAAGAGTGACCGACTATTTCTGCTGGGTGATTTCAACGCGCGCGTTGGGCATGATGCATCAATGTGGACAGATGTTAACGGTCCGCATGGCATTGGTTCAGCGAATGCAAACGGTGACAGGCTGCTCTCACTGTGTGCCATTCACGGCCTGACGATCACGAACACTCGGTTTGCACTGAGTGCGAGTGAAATAGCAACTCGAATGCACCCACAGAGTAATCATGCTCACCTGATCGACTATGTCATCGTACGTCAGCGTGATATGCATGAAGTGCGCGTGACACGTGTACTGCGTGGAGCTGAGTGTGGCACTGATCATCAATTGGTGCGGACCACACTGTAGATACATTTTCGTAAGTCGATGTATTGCACTGCCGCCATGAATCGGTGTAAACATCACATTCTCTCCATCGGTACTGTGGAGAAACGTATTGAGCTGGAGAAGGCGATGGCTGCACCACTGTGTGACGTGAACTGCATAGCCACAGTGGCCGACCTATGGCATCCCATTCACGACCAGGTGACAGCCGCTGCTGAGGAGACCATCGGGCGCGCAAACTGTAAGCGGCCTGATTGGTTTGATGAGAACAATGCGATGATTGGCGCATTGGTGTGTGAGAAGAATGCAGTATTTGCTACACATGTGACAGACCCCAGTGATTCGGGGAAGAAGAGTGAGTTTCGCGAACTTCGACGGCAACTGACCCGAGCGCTCCGTCGCATTAAAAATGCTTCATGGACGGAGAAGGCGAAGCAGATGGAATGCTATGCCGAACGTCGCCAACACAAGGAAATCTTTGACTACTTGAAGGCGGTGTGTGGACCGATTTGGAGCCGCTGAGGACGCTGATCGATGGTAGTTCAGGCGTTACCTGCACACAGACTGCAGACAAAATGAAGATCTGGAGGAAACATCTTGACTGTCTCTTGAACAACCGTTCAGAAATCAACTGGTCTAAATTGAACAGTCTGATGCAGCACGATGTGAAGACGATTTATTCGGACACGCTGACAATGGGTGAGATGCAGAGAGCATTTACTCAGCTTCGAAACGACACATGTGCCAGTGCCGACGGGATCCCGCCTGAAGTATTGAAACTCGGCGGACCTGCGTTGGTGACTGCGCTGCACCACTTAGTGCAACGCGTGTGGATTGAGGAGGAGGTGCCTTCTGCGCTGAAAGATGCCCTTGTGCTACCACTATACGAGGGCAAAGGAAGTAAGCAATGTTCTAAGAGTTATCGTGGCATCAACTTGCTGAGTTGTGTAGGCAAGGTGATTGCCCGACTCCTGCTCAACCGCCTCGTCAAACAGGTTGTGGAACCTAACGTGGCGGAAGAACAGTGTGGATTCCGTTCGGGTCCCTACACTATAGATATGATGTTTTCGGCTCGTCAGTTGCGCGAGAAATGTAGAGAACGACACCAGCCGTTGTACTCGCATTTTGTTGATTTCACCAAGGCATTTGATACGGTGAACCGCGAGGCATTGTGGCTGGTGTTGGGTAAGTATGGTAGCCCGCGTACGTTTGTAAGTTCGATTGTATGTCTGCACACTGGTATGCGGGCGAGGATGCAGCTGAGTGGAGAGACCTCGGATGACTTTGCAGTTGTCGCTGGTGTGAAGTAAGGCTGTGTCTTAGCTCCTGTCCTATTTAATATGTATCTTCATGCAATGATGTCTTGTGTTTTTGATTCGGCGTGTGCTTACGGTGTTCGTGTGGCGCACCGTATTGATGGTAGGTTGCTGAACATCCGTCGTTTCGATGCGAGAACTCTAATCTGTGAGACAACTGTCCGTATGTTGTTGTTTGCTGACGGCTGTGCGTTGTTTGCACCCAGCGCAGATGAGTTGCAGCACATGACTAGTGTTCTGGCTTCGGCAGTGGCCAAATTCGGGCTCACCATCAACACAAGCAAAACTGCCTGTCTCTTTCAGCCTTCAACGGAGGTGCAATCTTCAATATTGCCGCGAATCAGCATTGGTGCTGAAGTATTGGAAACCACCCGCTTCTGCTACCTTGGGAGTGTGATGTCGACTGATCAGCAGCTACATAGTGGGCTGCGTATTCGCGTGTCAGAGGCAGCGGCGGCATTCGGGAAGCTTGAGTACCGAGTGTGGAACAACCATCAGCTTACCATTGGCACGAAACTGATGGTGTACAAATCCAAGGTGCTGTCCGTTCTTCTATACGGCAGTGAAACGTGGACGATGTACCGGCGGGATGTGCAATATCTCGAGCGATTCCATCAGCAGTGTTTGCATCGCATCGGTTGGGGTGACAGAGTTGCTGACACGGAAGTGTTTCGTCGAAGTGGAATGTATGCAGTGCACTGCATATCTTTGCTGAGGCACCTGAGGTGGCTCGGTCATGTGTGGCGTATGGATTCGACGCGGATATCGAGGAAACTGTTATATGGTCAGCTGAGTATTGGT